AATAATTCCCCTGCCACAGCCCTAATCCCCACCCCGTGATCATACCAAGGAATTCACCCTTGAGGTAAGTCGGCACCACTAGTGACACTCAGGCACTAGTGGGGCCAAGGGAGGTGTTCAGATGAGCACGCCAGCACAAAGGCACTGGCGGAGGTGCGTCAGGCAGCAATGCCCAGCAGGCAGACCACCAGCCTGTATTTTCATGTCAGTTTCACATAACAAAGAGGCAGGTGACCGAAACCATTCTGATGAGGACCACAACGACCCATCAGACTCTTAACGACTGTTTACACTTTCCCAGTTTACCCCAAGGCCCCACCCAACAGGGTGGAGCTGAAGTAGCTTTATTCTTTCACACCTAGAGTATATATTTGCTGTACTCCCTACCACCACCAGTTAGAACTGAAGAAGCCTCTTGGATGAGAGGTGAAACGTCTTCTTTTAGAAAATTCATGTCCAGTTGTCTAACAGAACTTTTCAACCTTGACCATGACCTGGATGACTGAGAATCTTCATAGACATTCTGTAGTAAAGCAGTCCTACCAGCATATGATGTGTTTCCTGCACTGGGCTGTAATGGACCAGAATTAAGTAAAATATATTTGAAACATTTTTACTTTCTGGAAATTGTGATTTCAATAAATACCTAATAATTATGATTTTTTTTCCATCATTGAGCAACACTACATGATGATCATGGTGTAAACTTATTTCACCTCTTCTGAAATCCAACGGATGTTTGTGTTGTGAAATTAATAAAAAGCTTAAAATCAGGCTGCTGATCAGTACCTGTTCAGTCCAGCAATCAGGTCCCGTATATCATCAGGAAGAATGACTCGATGTTCTCCCATGTCCCTGTGGTTCCCCAACACACACACTGGCACGTGGGTGGGAACTTTGGGCAGTTCCCTCAAGATGTAGTTAAATGTCCTGAAACAGAAACCGAATCTGTCACTTTGATTGGTTTGATAATTTGTTTTAGGCACAGCTACATTAAGTGATTTATTTTTAATGAGCCCTTTTTCAGAAGTGATTTTTTTTTCCAGAATGGGTTTTTGTAGAATAATGAAGCTTGCGAATCTCATGTGAAGAAACAGCAATGACACTTATGGACATACACAGTACACGCATTGTATTTATTGCATCCATCCATCCATCCATTTTCATCCGCTTATCCGTTACCGGGTTGTGGGGGCAGCAGTCGCCACCCAAATCACATTGCACCGTACCTAAACCTTCCTGCGGGTGGTGAGTCCACTGGAAGGTATTAATCGCCCTGACCGGGATTCGAACATGCCCAGGAGGTGAACCCTGGGGTTCCACACCAATGACAGAGACATTGCCTCTGGGCCAAAGCGCCACGGTATTTATTGCATACATATCTTAATCACTATGCAAGTGCTTCTTAATGACTCCAAGTATTTTCTTCACATGACGTGGGACGCTTGTCTATTTTCTTTTTTTCAGAGCGGCTGACCGACGGTAGTATGTCAGAATAGCAGCGATATTCAATCTGAGCAATGTTGGTAAAAGAAATAATACCAACAGCAAACACAAATGCATGGGCAGTAGAGTGAAAATAAACTTGTTTTTACACCAATTTGTCTTAGAAGAATTCTAATTTGATGTTAGAAAATGTTTTATAATCTACTGTCAATCGGTTGACCTCAGGTATGTGTCCTGACACACTTTTCTATCTAGAATGTACATATTAGTACAATGGGCTTTAGCCTGACTTAGCTTTAGTAACTTAATTATACCATTTAATCTCACAATGATTACAGACCACTAAGAATGAGACATTATATGTCGTTACACAGATTTTAAACATGTTGCTGCTTGAATTTTACTCTGCTGTTACCGGAGCAAAAACAATGTACTGTGCTAAAACATTGACAGCACTGAGCCCCTGTTGATTTCTGACCTCAACAGACAGACATGTCTTACCACTGTTTGGTGATGTCGAACATCATGATGACCCCATTGCAGTTCTTGTAAACGTCGAGGAACTCCGCGTCCAGAGCCATTTCATCTGACTGCAACACCAACGGAATGACACTTAACAATTTCTTAAATCACACATCACTTATTATAAATATGATTAAGAATTCTATTTTCACACAGGTTTGATTGTTTCCATCTAATATGAAAGTCATTTCACAACTGACCCACATTCTTTGAACCAATGGTTTTCCTCCCCTGAGCACATTACAGTCATGTGACAGTTACCTCTTGGGACTCGTTCTCCAGTTTCAAGTTGTACCCTCGTCTTTTGCTTTTTCCTGAAACAACAGAAAATGATGTATTTAGAAAAAAACCCCGTAAATACTTAAAATAAACATCTTACTTTGTTTTTCATTCGGTTCAATGACTCTAAGGAGGGTGAAGCAAAGAAAAGCAGTATGGATGCTTTTACTACTGAGGAGCATATCACTGCAGAATTCCTAACTCTTTAATGGGATAGTTCAGGTTTTGATATGTACGGTGTGATTAAGGAGTCTGACATTACGTCAGTGACTGACGGCAGAAAGGAGTGAAGAAAAAAACACTTAATCTGTTTTACAAAATGCAACATCCAGATCACACACTTAAAATCAGCCCTGAGGTACATCACTCAAAAATATACAGTAAATACTGCCTGTTCTTATATTTACAAAGTATTTTCTTGATATATACTGTAGTGTCCAATCCAGTCATTCTCCTGCACCAAGATCCATGGAAAAATCCAGTGATTTTAAAAGTAAGTGGATACTTTATAATCTGAAAATACCTGGAAATGTGTCTCAAATTGATTTCACCAGCTTTGTGAAAAAAAGTGGGTGATTATTAGGGGTGCAGGATTCAGGAAATGCCACGATTCAATTTGATATCGATTTTTAGGCTCAGGATTAGGTTCAAAATCTATTTTCAATTAAAAATTGATTCACTCTTCCGAGCATAAATACATTTGATATACAGTATCTTAGATTTCCCAAACGTACGTACTGTACTGTACAGTGCCGTGAAAAAGTATTTGCCCCCTTCCTGATTTCTGTGTTTTTTGCATATTTATCACACACAAAGGTTTCAGATCATCAAACCAATTTTAGTATGACACAGAGACAGCCCAAGGAAATAGAAAATGCAGTTTCTAAATGATGATTTTATTTACCAAGGGAGAAAAAATTACAAACTTGTCTGGCCCTCTGTGAAAAAGTAATTGCCCCCTGAACCTAATAACGGGTTGTGCCACCTTTGGCAGCAATAACTGAAATCAAGCGTTTACGTTAATTGGTGATGAGTCTTTCACAACGCTTTGGATGAATTTTGGCCCACTCTTCTTTGCAGAATTGTAGCAAAGCAAAGCAGCCCCAGACCATCACACTGCCACCACCATGCTTCACTGTTGGTATAGTGTTCTTTTGTTGGAATGCTGTGCCATTTTTACGCCAGATGTAACGGGCCGCACACCTTCCAATAAGTTCAACTTTTGACTCATCAGTCCACAGAATGTTCTTCCAAAAGTCTTGAGGATCATCAAGATGTGTTTTGGCAAATGTTAGACAAGCCTTTGTGTTCTTTTTGGACAGCAATGGTTTTCGCCTCGCAACTCTGCCATGGATGCCACCTTTGGCCAGTGTTTTTCTTACAGTAGAGTCATGAACACTGACCTTAACTGAGGCCAGCGAGGCCAGCAGTTCTTTCAATGTTTTTCTAGGTTGTTTTGTGACCTCCTGGATGAGTCGTCGTCGCACTCTTGGAGTAATTTTAGCTGGCCAACCTCTCCGGGGAAGGTTTGCCACTGTTCCCAGTTCTCTCCATTTGTGGATAATGGCTCTGACAGTGGTTCGCTGGAGCCCCAAAGCCTTGGAAATGNNNCATTTCTTCTTGAATTTCTTTGGATCGTGGCATGATGCTCTGATCTTGTAGCCTACTTCACTTTGTCTGACACATTCTATTTAAGTGATTTCTTGATTCAACACGTGGTGGTAATCAGGTGTGGGTGTGGCCTGTGAAATTGAACTCAGCTTTCCTAAAATTGTGATTAGTCACAGTTATTTTGTGATTTAACAAAGGGGGGCAATTACTTTTTCCACAGAGGGCCAGACAAGTCATACTAAAATTGGTTTGATGATCTGAAACCTTTGTGTGTGATAAATATGCAAAAAACACAGAAATCAGGAAGGGGGCAAATACTTTTTCACAGCACTGTACATGTTTTTATGTATTACCCTGTATGTATGTATGTATGTATGTATGTATACATGTATGTGCTGAAAAATGTCTTTTCAGCCAGTTTTTTTTCTCAACGTGAAAGCAATACGCTTCCCTAATAAACTGCACAGTGCAAAGTAAAATATTTTGGTAAAATACGAGCTTTTACAATTAGTGCTGTACTCCAAAAACAAACACAAATGGCTCAGGTAGTACATTAACAGCTAAACTCCCTTTTGAAATGATCAACTGATGGGCACATTTAACACATAAAATCATGACTCAATTCAGCATTTAAGATGTTTTAGAACCACAGAATACATAAACATGTTTAAGTGTCTGCCTGTTCGCGTTCTCTGCAAAAAAGACGGCGGGATGGTACAGTGTACCAAGGCTCAAAAGCCTTCGTTTTCAACGCTGCTGTAGGAGCGCAAATCTTTAGAAATAATTTTCTTAGCCCACTCAGCGTTCCATGGGAGTTTAGTGCATTGAAACAAAGTTCGTTGGTTCACTGTTTTTAGCTTTTTGCCGTGAAATGAAATGTGAAGTGGCTTATTGAGAAGTCTGGATGTAAATAGAAAATTGCTGGCTGTATTTTAGAATTATAGAGTTAAGCTTCTCTGTAGTCACACAAACAGCTCAATGGAATGCTATTTGTACAATTTAAAGCATTTCAACGCCAGTCGAAATGAACATGAGCTACTGTATTATGTGAATAAGTGTGGCAATAGTAGTGGATTGTCATCTATAACCATTCAGGGAATTCAAGTGTGCAGTTGAAGCAGCATTTCTGTTAAACAAATAAATGAGAAAATCCCAAACAGAGCTGCTGTTACCTTAGCTTACTACACATGCACACAAAGAAAAAACACTTGTTTTTTTTCTGTGCATGGCACCATCCCCACACACTGCTCCCTGGGTGCTTAAAGCTGCCCATTGTTCACGTTGGTGATGGGTTAAAAGCAGAGGTCACATTTCGTTGTGTGCAGTGGTGCGCTGTCACAATGGCGCTGGGGTTTGAAATCATTCTTTTAGATAAAACTCAAACACACACACAAAAAAAATCAACCCTTAGGTGTTCTCTATAGACTTCATTGCAGAAGACTGCATGCTTCATATAAACCAACACAATATTTTATAAAATATATTTATTTTGAATAACTAATTTTCTAACAAGGTCCACAGAGAAAAATATATATTTTTATTTCTCCTTCTGTGGTTATTGTGTCACTCCATAGCTGAGGAATTTATTTTAAACACCAACATCACAAAAAAGATACTCTTTTATGAACTTTTAAAATGTTTCCTATGGACTGGAGAAGGAGAATGAGGGGTTTATAAACTAAGGTTTGCAGCTTCAAAAAAAGGTTGCAACAAATCCCTGTAGTACGGTAAATTTCACAAGATTGTTGACCTTTTTTATCAAAGGTACCCAATTCATGGCAATAGTGAAATATAGTCAACTAACCTTAAATAACCTGAACAATCCCTTTAGATAGTTGCTGCTGACTCGTGTACAAAAACTTAAGTTTTATCCATAAAACACAGCAACCAGTGAAAGAAATGTGTGACATGTTGCCACGTAGCAAACCTGGAAATAGCCAACCCTTGACAATATTTACATTTAGATAAAGGGTGAGAAAAGTCAAGACAAGCCCAATGCACACAAGTTTAGTTTCTACACACGTTGATGGAGCTCAGCTACACCTTCAGGAAGAGCATATTTTTGGCCTGAGATGAGTGCGAAAGAGGTTAAAAAAGACAATGTCAACACTGAGAACAGGACAGGCAACAAACAAGCAACGTGACTTTTTCCTGATATGAAATTTCTATGCAGGCTAACAGCAGAAGTCAGTTTTAGAAGAATGACTGTGATTAGCATGTCATTTCAGACCCACCTTTGTCCACCACGTCCCAGACCTCTACCTTGACAACATCATCTGTAGCTGAAAGACAAAAAGGACGTTTTCACAAATCATGTTTTTAGGCAACAAAGAAAATAAAGAAAATATTGACTAGAGCCTTGGTTACACTGAAGTATTATGTGGAAATGTTACAAGATGCAACTACCAGACACAGAGTAAATAGTACTTAATACTACCTTGCTTATGTTGCCTGTTATTAAAACTCTGCTGCTGTCCATGGTAACTACAAATTGCTTCTATGGTAGAAGTGCATGTAGTTACTGTCACACTACTGTCATAGTTATTCTTTATTAGTTTGACATTAAAAAAGCATCAGTAAAAAAGTTGATATATAATGTTGATAAATAAAAAAGCCCATGATGGAGGTATCTCTGGTATAATGGTGTTGTAACATACTTTTATAATTCCAGTGGATACTTGTCGCCTGGATCTCCTGAGTTGGAATGTACTCTTTCACAAACTTCTTCCCCTGAAGTCGATGCCATAAAGTGCTCTTCCCAGTGTTTCTGTCTCCACGGATGACAATTTTCACTGAAGTGACAAAACAAAATATCAGTCATTGGGCCACGGATATAAGAAAAAGGCCCATGTTTGCCAATTGTTTGAATTAAACTTACTGTTATATTGCACTCCTTTGGCAAAACGTCTCTGCAGACTGTGGTTCATGGACTGCAGGCCAGCCGGAATATTCTTATCCCTGAGCTGGCCTGGCTCTGAGCCCACCAGCTTCTTAAGTGCGGAAAACATCTTTACAAGGCTTCAGAGGTTAATTTAGAAACAAGGAGTAGTTCAAGTGGATTGAAGTGAAGTGATTTTTTTCATTTAAATTGTTAAGCAACAGCTCCTGTTGCTGACAGCTCAGGAACTCAAGCGTCCATGCTTGTGGTGCCAAATGAAGAATTGTTGGCCTTCAATCAGTTCTCCTCCTAAATTTGAATTAATGTCCTTCTCAGACCGACATCCATTGAAACAATGACCATGTTCCTTGGAGCACTGTCCGAAAAAAAAAGATTATTAGAATTTTTGAGGAAATTTAATGTCAGTGATTACAATAACTGATTGATAAATTAATTGTGTTTACACACCAATCCTGTTTATTTTACTGTTTTGAAACCATGGTACTTGTGCATGTAAGTGAAAGTGAATTATTTGTCATGTAATTGAGATCTATATAAAATATAAACATATAATATCTTCTGGTTGTGGCGCTTTGGCCCAGAGGCAATGTCTCTGTCATTGGTGTGGAACGCCAGGGTTCACCTCCTGGGCAAGTTCGAATCCCGGTTAGGGCGGTTGGTACCTTCCAGTGGACTCACCACCCGCAGGAAGGTTTAGGTACGGTGCAATGTGATTTGGGTGGCGACTGCTGCCCCCGCAACCCGGTAACGGATAAGCCGATGAAAATGAATGAATATCTTCTGGCATATAGAATTTTATTGTTGTTTGTTTAATATTTTTTATGTCAACGTTAGACTTGGCTTATTTAAAAGAATGATTCTCTGTGACAATTGCTTAACCATTCTGTTGGTAATGAGGTGACAGTTGGTAAAAAGTGACTATTTATTACAAGTCTGAAGCAGAATGATCAGGCAAATGTCAAAGTAAACATAATCAGGAGAAAAATATTTTTCATTCAACTGATGAAATGTTAAGAGGATCTACTGTTAAAACTCTCACAAGTAAAGCGGTAAGTATGCAGACCAGGGCACAAAAGTCAAACATTTGGGAACCATACAGTGTGTGCACAATTATTAGGCAAGTTGAATTTTTGAGGATTCATTTTGTTATTGTACAACTACAGTGCTCTTGGTGAATCCAAAATGTTAACAAACCCTCAAACCTGAACACAACTAGTAAAAGTGAAGTTTTGGCTTTCTTAAGAAAATTTCTACATGTACACCATTATAAGGCAACTATTAGTGTGCAGAATTACTATGCAACTAAATGAAAAACAAAGATTTTCCCATCTCACTTGCTTATTTTCCCCTGTTAAAGTGAGAATAATAAACAAACTCAAAATTTACAAATAAACATTTCTAAAATTTCAAAAAAAAAAAAAACCCTCAGTGACCAATATAGCCACCCTTCTTTTCGATAACAGTCACAAGCCTTCCATTCACGTAGTCAGTCAGTTTCTTGATCTGGTCAGAGTTAACTTTAATCTCCCAGACACTGTTCAGAAAGGTGTACTGTTTACCTTCACTGTAAATGTCCTGCTTAAGAAGGGCCCAAAAGTTCTCAATAGGGTTTAAGTCAGGTGAAGAATTGGCCTATGTCATTAGTTTTTCATCTTTAAGGCCTTTACTGGCCAGCCACGCAGTGGAGTACTTTGATGCATGTGATGGAGCGTTGTCTTGCATAAAAAAATCAGTCTTCTTAAAGATGCAGACTTTTTCCTGTACGCTTGAAGAAAGCGTCTTCCCACCCTTCTTTTCGATAACAGTCGCAAGCCGTCCATTCACGGAGTCGGTCAGTTTCTTGATCTGGTCAGAATTTTTTGTGCAGCCGCAAGTGCAGTCTTCCTGAAAGATGCAGACTTTTTCAAGTACCACTGCTCATCAGTTTCAACTTATGTGTCTTGTTCAGAGGTGGTAGGGTTTCAGCTTTTCTTATCTTGGCCATGTCTCTGAGAACTGAATACCTCGTACTTCTTGACACTCCAGGTAGGTTGCAGTTGTGGAATATGGCAGCACTGGAGGATAATGGGTTCCTGCTAGCTTCATGTTTGATTCTTCTCAAATCTAGACCCTGTTGACTATTTGCAACAAAATATTTGATGGTTCTGTGATCACACCACAATATGTGCTGCATCCCTCTGAAAGACTTTTTACAATTTTTGACTTTTCAGGGTCAGTTAAATCTCTTTTTGGCTCATTTTTCCTGAGAAGAATCTGCCTAATAATTATGCACACCTTGATATAGGGGGTTCATCTCCTTAGACCACACCCTCCCTCATTACACAAATACACATCACCTAATATGCATTAAATCCAATATGCATTCAAGTTTATACAGCATGGAGTTGGAAATTATGGATAAAATGATGATATGGTCAAAATACTCACTTGCCTAATAATTGTGCACACAGTGTAGTTTTAGCAAATTATTATAAATGCTAAAAAATAAAATTATAATTTTGAAAAATATTTAAAGTATTATTCACGGCTACAAGTATAATTAAATTACACATTAAATAATATCTGTATCACATTTAAACAGTCAATAATATATTACCTTAACACAGAACGATTTGTCTGTGTATTTGTTATCCAATTACTGTATTTATTATTAATAGTATTGTAGTTACTGCATCCACATTTATGTTTAACGTAGAAACTGAAATAGATGAATATTAGAAGTCACTTTTAGGTTAGTCGTATGAAGCAATCAATACATAAGCTAAAGGCGTCAGGAATTATTTAGGAAAAGTAGCTAATTGAATCTTTTCTGGAGAGCAATGTTCATGTTGTGACACTTTATTATTAAAATGATGCGGGAGACATTTGATTTCTTTTTAATATAATCGAAATACAAATGTTCTACACTGCATACCGCCGTCAAAATAGTTATACGAGTTACATGCATACTTACGAACATAATTCTCACTAAAAATTACAACAGACACTGTACACAGCAGGTCACTGTATAGAACGACATCATCTGCATCAGAGCATGTCCATGTCTCTACGCCAGCATACAGTCTTAATATAAGCTGGACCAGAATCCCTAGTTGTTACATTTTTCACTAACAAGATCAGCTAACGTAATTATCACCACCGGTATTGTTTTCATTATAAACAACCATGTATTTGATTTGTGGAAACACTAACTAAAACAGCCACATTTAATTCTAATATAATCTTGGTAATAACAAGGTGATAGTTTATTGTCACCCATTTAGCATTAGCGAAACATGCTATAAGTACCACAAGCATCTTTGTAGTACTTGGGCAGTTTTTTTCCAAACAAATGTCTCTATAAAAGCCAATAACACTACTGTGCCAACAGAGATGAGACAGACATGTTAGTGAAAAAAATGTTAACGCTATTATCTGACTCTATCAGTGCTAGTTGAAGTGTTAGCTCTTTGGTTAGCTTCCTACTCCTCTCTCTTCGCTCACTGTCACTTCACGACGAAATGACCAGTGCTTTATTTCCATTTTCCTATCTTCCTGTTGTCACAAATGACAAATACTCACGGTTATTTAACCGAAGAAGAACCCTCAGTCCAGACATCTTTTCCACTCTAAGCATCTCTGCCACTTCTCCATCAGTACAGACGTGGAGCAGCAACATTCCTTTGCAAAAAGAGATGATGATAAAGAAGAAAAAGAACCTGGAAACGAATCGAGCGTCAGTGCATCTCACAAACCACACACTTCCTGTGATGACTTCAACGTAAAGCTCAAGTGTTAAACACACGACAATTACAATTACATGTTTCAATTTAGAACTGCCACTTGCTTAATTCACCACAGGAATAATTCAATGGGTGTATCCCACAATAAATGTAAAATAACATTTTATTTTTAGCGAAACACTTCCATACTTCCTGTGCACTTCTCTTACAGAATAAATCACTGTGTAACACTTCCGTTTGACTTAACAGTAAAAAGTTTCAGAACAAAGGTTCATTACTCAAGCAACAATACAGACCGTAAATAAAATAGAATAAATAAAATATGTAAAATATAAGGAAATGTAGTGGTTTTTATTGCTTGAAGAAATATAGACTATTTAGAAGAGATACATTTGTTTATTTTCTATTTCATAACATTAATTTTGTTTGATTTTTATAGAGATGGTTTGTTCTCTACTCAAGTTATACCAGGGCCCAATACAAAAATGTCATCTGTAAAAAAGTTTTAGCCTTTGGCCACGAAATTGTGATATGTTAACATTTTTATCTAGATGAAAACCAATCAATGCAAAGTATTATTTCATAAAATTAAATTTAGTTTGAGAGGTTCCGAAAGACAACAGAGTAAATACGCACAAATTGCAGTACGTGATAATGATGTAAAGAATGTACAATTTTGTCGTTTGAGCACCTGCAGTACTTTTTCAAACTGTTATTGGAAAGCTTAGCCATACTTTTTTGAGGTTTTTCAAACACCTTAGACAAGGAAAATGTAACTACTTTACTGTAATTTTGCTATTCCATATCTGCTCCTTTCTGTTTCTGCCAAAAAATTTCATTGACTAAAATTAGGAAATCAAATGAGTTGGTGACACCTGCTGATAGACATGGTAAACTGCAGCTGTAGCATCCTCATTTGCACTGGTCTCTCATCACATATCAGATGAACGCAAGTTGCTTCTCTATTTCACAAATGAACATTAGCAGGAAATAGAAATATACTGAACAGCATCAGCAGCATTAATCATTGTCTGGATTTATCATTTATTTTTTTATAAAACAATCCCACACTGCTCAGTGATCGCGCCCACTCTTTAGCCCTCGAGGGGGTAATCATGGCTGCACAGGAACCTTCTCCACCACCGTCTCTGGAAGGTAACAAGCCGGGATTTCCAAAGAAAAGAAGAAGACAAGCATTTATGCAATTCGTGCCAGAAGATTCTAAGGAGGCCGCTGCAAGCGCAGTGCGGTCATCGCTTCTGCAGCTTCTGCTTTAACAAAATAGTGAGGTAAGTGCTGTCATGGTGAACCGCTAGAGCTGCAGCTAAGAATCTTTACTGACCCTCATCACTCATGTTCCATGTCAACGACAGTTCCGCTAATAAATACAACACACGTCACCCATGAAATAACTTCGGCTGCTATTTTTATTGCAACCATTTACAGGATTTTTCGTCGTGCACTTTATCTAAAGAGCATTTATAAATTGTAATCTGTAAATTGATTATTCTTAAAGGACATTATTAAAAATAAGTTATTCGTTTTCACTGTTGCAAACAACACGGCGTGATATCACTATTGAATACATTCTCAAATCCAAAAAACTTTAAATAATAAAAAAGTGTGATTGTCTTCTATAAAACTGTAGATTTAACGATCATAAAGTAATCATTAACATTCCAGCTGAAACAACTTAAGTTACGATCGTGTGGAAAATATTCACAAAGTTCTCCAGTTCACCACAGGATAAATCCGTACATGGACTGTACAACAGCCCCCCTCCAGACCCATGGTGTATTAACAGTATCCAGTTAACCTAGTCTGGCATGTTTTTGGGCTGTGTAAAAAAAAAAATAAAAATAAAAATAAAAAAAATGGGGAAACGTCAACTCCATACATTAACTACTTGGGTGCGAATCAGTGACCTTCCTGCCGTAGGGCAAGGCCACTTGCCAATCTTCCACTGTGGGAGCCAAAAGTTTTACAATAAAAACAAACAAACAAAAAAAAACCCTTTATTGCCATCTCTAAGTTTCTCTAAGCAACACCAGCTCTCTTTGTTTACATCAACGTTTGTTTTCTCTCCTTATAAGTTCTGGACCACAGAATTGCAATGCTTGCATCAAAGAAGACTTGTTTGAGGAGCCAGCATCTATTCTTAAGCAAGGGGGTGTAAGTATGTATATATGTGTGTGTGTGTGTATGTATTCTAGTCTCTAGAAAGACAGTAAGATATGTCTAAATAACCAATCGAGTCCAATCTGACCATTGTAAATGGAGATGACAGGAAGAAGATAATATGGTCTGATGAGTCTGAACAAGAACTCTTTGACCATATACATGTTGGCTGTGCTTGGAGAAGGAATAGAAATACAAGGGAGGAAACAAGGAGTGGATGGAAACAAATGTTATAAAGACAAATAGGAAAATATTTTAGTTTTAGGAAGAACTTCAGCAGCCAGGAGCAGAACTGGGTCTTGGTTGTGTCCCTGCAGTAAAACTCCCTGGGTAACTTAGCATGGTGCATGTTTAAGTATATGTGTGTGATTATACTGACTGGTGTTTCTGCTTTGTGTTAGGCGTTCCCAGACAATGCAGCTCGCAGAGAGGTGGAAGCGTTGGCTGCTGTCTGTCCAAATCAGGGCTGCACATGGATAGAAACCATCAAAGAATTTGAGGTGAATGCTAAAGCTACATTTACATTGTTATATATTTGACTTTTAATGTGCCTGAATCAGTGGAAATTTGAATTGTATAAACATTATATGTATTAATAATAGGCTCAAAAACATTAAGGTGAGACAGTACTTCTGTCAAGGCGCAATCGACAAAAGAATCAGGAAGTAGGTTTGTTTTTTAACCCTGTCTGGGTTCATGTGTCTACAGATTAGTGGTTCACAACTTTTCTTGGCTTCTCACCTCATTTTGATATCACAAATTTCTGGCGACCCCTTGAGACATTTTAGTAGCGGTCACTCAATTCACATTAATGAATGTGTAAGAATGCAGTTGTTTAAGATTGTGTGGTGCTTTTAATCATAATTCTAAAAAGAATAAAAAGTGTTATTTATCAATATTTCTTTTTAATCAATTACAAGACAGTTCCGACTACCTCCTTTGAATTTCAGGCGACCCCAAGGTTGAAAACCACTGCCATAGGTGAAAACCAAGAAGTGGTGTTCTAGATGATTGGGTCATCAGATACTGTACATGTTTACTGGTTTCTTTACCTTCACAGGGCAGAGCTCTGTTTAGTTCTCGTGATCTGTCCTTTTTTTCCAGGCTCATGATGAAATCTGTCCCAAGTATCCCATGATCTGTGAAGGCTGTGCGAAGAAAAAGATTCCTAGAGAAAAGGTATTCACTGAAGCACCACTGTTTCCTGAACGTCATAAACCACGTCTCTGTGATCTACAGATTGTTAATTCTTCTCCTTTCTATCATTTGTTCTCTACAGTACGTGGACCACATTAAGTTCTGCAGTAAATTTAAATTTCCTTGCAGGTTCCATGTTTTTGGCTGTGATTTGTCTGTAAGTAAACATTTACCTTTGAGAAACTTTAAGGACGTTTGCACATTTTGTTTATCACGAACACACTATATACACTATAAAACTACACTTAAAAAACCCCAAACTTTTGTTTTTCTCCATGAAAGGTGGAGAAGGAAAAGATCAATGACCATGAGCGTCAGTGTTCCTATGAACACCTCAACCTGCTCGAGATGAGCTACCTGGAAGGAAGTGTGAATACTGGAGCTGTTGGTGGCAGCAGTGCAGCTCTGGTTCAAGCTGCCTGTGCTCCAACCATGACCACCTCCTTCATTCCGTTTCCCACAGCTTTGGCCGCTGCACTGGAGCTGCAACTCCAGAGTGAGAAGACCAAGGTGGTGGAGCTGAAAGTCAGCATGTTTGAGAACATTGTCTGCGTCCTCAACAGGGAGATGGAGTGCTCCTGCGCTACCATGGAGGCCTACAACCGACAACATCAGCTGGACCTGGATAAGATCGAGATCCTCAACAACAAGGTGACAGAGTGACATCATCTCTAATGATGTACAGTATTTTCCGGACTATAAATCATACTTTTTTTCATCCTTTGCCTGGGTTTGCGACTTATACTCAGGTGCGATATATATTAAAATATATAATTTCGTTATTTTCACACTGACAGCCACTAGAGGGCACTCTAGCTGGCTGGTGTGACTTATACTCTGGCACGACGGTACTTAGTGGTTTTTATTGCGGGCAGTATTGGTGTATTTAAAGATGAAAATGGAAGTGTTCATGTGCTGCTGCTAATCACCAGTTCCGTCAGCTGGAGAGAACAGTGAGTCTGAGGGACCTATCCATTGTGGAGATGGAGGGAAAGATGAGGGAAATGTCTGCAGCCACGTACGACGGCGTGTTTGTCTGGACGATTTCGGACTTCACCAAGAAGAGACAGGATGCTGTAGCTGGCAGAGCTCCTGCCATGTTCTCTCCTGGTATCGTCTCATGAAAACTTCTATATCAGATATCTATAATTCCAGCTCTACCTCTGCCTGACAAGCCATTCCTGTGTGGTTTTATATTTCAGTCTTTTACACCAGTAAATACGGTTACAAGATGTGTTTATGGATCTACCTGAATGGTGACGGAACAGGTCAAGGAACTCACCTGTCTCTCTTCTTTGTGGTAATGAGAGGACACGGGATGCTTTGCTCAAGTGGCCTTTTAACCAGAAGGTAACTCTCTTATTAGATCAGTAGGTCTTTCCTAATTTTGTTATGGAGCCATGGTTTTAGATGTGCGAGGTTAACTAGGCCCCTCCTGGAACCACAACTTTAACGTGGTGGAGGGGTTTGAGTATCCGAATGAATCTAGGAGCTATGTTGTCGGGGGCTTAATGCCCCTGGTAGGGTCTCCCAAGGCAAACAGGTCCTAGACGACGGATCAGACTAAGAGCAGTTCAAACTCCCCTTGATGATAGTAACAATAATAACTAA